TAATTTGTTACAGCAGGGATAGGAAACTAATACAGAAGGAAACTCAGAGGGCACCTGGTCCAACAACTCAGTCAATACATAAGTTGATCCAGGGCTTTGACTGGTGTGGGAAGTGATTCTACTCTGCTGACAGTGGGGAGTTTGTGAAGGTCTTTGACCTGGGAAGTGAGATACGGAAGAATATTCAGCCCCTTCCGACCTCCAGTATAGGTGAGATGGGAAAGAGAAATGATTGAATGAAGGGGAATTGATTTGAAGGCTACTATGAAAGTCTGGCTAAGAGGTATGGGCTTGAAATAGGGTGGAGCCAGTTGGGAGAGGTAAAAAGACAAATATGGCAGAGATGTCATTATATAAAGAATGGGACTCAGTGACTGACTAGAAGGAGAGTGGATGTCAAGGTTTTAAGACTGACTGACCACAGCGATGATGACATCATCAACAGAGCCAAGGCAGCCTTTCCTCTTGGCGTGGCACCTGCCAACTTTAACAGCATCCCGAATGGCTTAGAACACATCAGAACTCAGCTTCTAAATAAGTTGAAGAGTGAGAAATGAATTATTTGCTTAAATAAAGCCCAAATCTAAAGTAACGATAAATATGTGAAATTCAACCAAGTAAACTAGAGAGGTATGCATAATTGCAGAAATGTTTACTATTAAAATACATTAGTTATTCTTCCACTTCTGCTTTCCTTAATTTGCTCCATTTCAGGAAAAATTAAGAAAATGTATTTGAGGTATATAATGAATATGATCAATTTTTCATACACATTTAAATGTATTTTTTCATTTAATGGAAACCAAATAAAGCAAAGAAAACCACTTTGAATATGTCATAAATGACTCAGACCGTGTTTGAGCACCATGGTTTTTGTTTCACAGTGAGGCTGGACAATGATAGACCAGGTCGATGTTCAGTTAAGTTATGCTCTCCAGAGGGAGACTATGAGATGAGGATATGTGGGTAAGTATTTTATTATGGAATTTCTCAAGGAAAACTGGTAGAAGAGTGGAGAAGTGGGATCAGAGAGCAAAGGAAGCCAAGCAAGGCTACCATATCAAGGAAAGTCCTGCAGTGAGCTCCAGCTATGGGGGAATTCTAGAGACAGTGTAGTCATCCCAATTCAAAGAAATAGAGATGGAATATTTATAGTTCCGCATGGCTTAATTATTGGTTAAGGCTGCCCCCATCTGACCCCTGAAGGCACTCCCTGCTCTCCATCTGGCCAGGCAAAGCAGGTTCCAGCAGCCTTAGGGCAGCCCTCCAACAAATGGATCCAAGTGCTGGCTGTTGGGAGGGAAAGTACACTGGGGCCATTATACTCAAAAAACCATAAAGGGATCCAAGAGAATATGGGTGAAGGGTTAACAGTGTCTGTGACAAAATATTACTGAAAATTCCAAGATTTTGTTTGACCATTTGAATTGGTATCTTCACTGCTTAATCAGTATCTTCACTTGAATATTTTTTAAGCCATCTTCATTTTAAAGTACCAAAATTAGAAATCTTAACTCCCCACCACACTCACAAAAAGCTCTGTTTCTCTGCCAATCTTCTCATCCTATGCTTTGCCCCCAGAAGATCAAGCCAGAGCTTGGGACTCAACCTGATTTTTTTCTAAATTCTTGTATCCAATCCCACAGCATTCCAATTGAGTATACTTTCAAAATATATCCTACATCTATCCACTTCTCTCCATCTCCACTGCTAATACTATGGTCCAACCCTAGCCTTTCTTCTGGATGACTACAGTAGTCTCCTGACTAGTCCTCCTGCTTTTACTTCTGTCCCTTTAAAACTCAATCTCCTCATAATAGCAAGAATGATCATCTAAAATTGGATTCTGTCATTTCCCCATTAAAATACTTTACTGGCTTCCTATGGTATTTTAAATCCTGTCACTTCCCTGATTAAAATACTTTAGTGGCTTCCTACGGTATTTAAAATTAAAAACTACAATATCCAATGTGACCTGGCCTCTATCTACATTTCCAACTTCATCTCACGTTTCGACTGCTCACTTTGCTTGATCGTGCAGGATTCTGACATTTCCTAGACATCTCTGAACTGGGAATGAACACCTTTTGGCTTTTCACGTAGCAAACTCCTTTTCATCCTTTTAGGTCCCAGCCTAAATGTCATCTCCTTGAAGAAGTCTTCCCTATTTCTATATCTGTCTATTGCTCCTTACCCTTTTATTATTTATGGAACTATTACTCCTCCAAAACTTATCACAATTGGTATCTATGTGGTTTACTTGTGTTCCCTCCACTAGAAGGTAAGCTCCTTGAGGACAAGTATCATATGTCTTACTCACTATCACATTCCCAGTACCCAACAGTGCCTGATTCATATTAGGTGCTGAATAAAGATTTCATGAGTGAGTGAATAAATGAAACACAGGACTGCTATATCTTGCTTTACTTTTGCTCCTAACAACTTGACCATTTGAGGTCATTTAAAGTATAATCGCTTTATATAAAAAAACCCGACCAAGTCTCACTCATGGCCAAAAAAATTTGCATTCTGGAGAAAAAAAAACTGATGCTTTTTTCCCCATGTTAAACTGATCAGTTTAAACAATGTTAATAAATGACAAAGAATTGCTCAGAATGGGTAAAAGACTATAACAGACCTTTCCAGAGTCATAGTATCTCTGCAGATGGCAATGTAGATAGTTCCACTGTGCTATTTTTCAAACTGTTTTATATTCAGGTCTTTTCCTCAACTGCCCTTTTTAATGTCTGGTAGATTCAGGGAGACTAAACCCCTGACAATTATTTTTTGAAACTAGGAAGTGGTACTTGTTTTTTTTTAAATTATTTTTCTTCTTATTTAAAGAGTTTTATTTTAGAATCTTAAAAGAAGATCCAATTTGGATGGTACTTTTTGGCATGATTTCCTCATTATTCAGTTATGCTAACTCGATGTGTTAAATGTGTGAATACTTTAAGAGGATGCAAGCTGACACTTTTGTTTCTAGGAAATTTGTTCTTTATAGTCTGCATAGTTTATCATCTTTTGTCAATGCTAATGGAGATTAATGATCTAACATTATAGCTGCTGTTGTTTAATAAAATATGACTTCTATTAAATACTATTTAGTTATAATTCTGACAATCAAAGTAATGCACACTCATTTTAGAAAATTTGGGAAAGACAGAAAAGTTAAAAAAAAGAAAAAATTAATCATCTACAAAATTCTACCTAAAAATAACCCCGTTACTGTATTTTGTTACATATCCTTCCAATCTTTTTATCTACATATAGACATATTTATTCATTCAACAAACACTTATTGAGTACCTATTCTGTTTCAAAAAGAAGTCTAGCTGCTGCTGACCAAGACAGATGAGATCCAGACATTCATGCAGCTTGCATTCTAGAGGACAACAAATGAGAACACTAACAAATAAGATGATTTCCATCAGTGATGATAGCTATGAAGAACACGAAACAAGTAATGTGACAGAGTCAAGGTCATAAAGGGTGAGACAATGAGGGCTAGTTACTTTACAGAAGGTTAACAGGGAAGACCTTTCTAAGAAGAGAATATTTGACCTAGGCCTAAAGAATTAGGAAGCACCAGTCACGGGAGGATGTTCAGGAAGAGCATTCCATGCAGAAGGAACAACACATGCAAAGGTGTCTGACTGTTTCTAGTAACTGCCACAAGGTAAGTGTGACTGGAACTAGAGAATAAAAAAGCAGGGGGCTTCCCTGGTGGCGCAGTGGTTGAGAGTCCGCCTGCCGATGCAGGGGACACGGGTTCGTGCCGCGGTTCGGGAAGATCCCACAAGCCGCTGAGCGGCTGGGCCCGTGAGCCATGGCCGCTGAGCCAGCGCATCCGGAGCCTGTGCTCCGCAACGGGAGAGGCCACAACAGTGAGGGGCCCGCGTACCGCAAAGAAAAAAAAAAAAAAAGCAGGGATCTCTCATATTCATTATGCATTCTGACCAGCTTCGAGCATATCTTTTCATTTATATTTTTGACCTAGAGAATTAAAATTTTTATGTTGTCAAGTCAATCATTTTTTTTCTCTGTGGTTTCTCCCATTAGTCTCTTACCTATCCTTCAATCAGAAAAATATTCACCTATATCTTCTCCGAGTGCTTTTATTATTTCATTAATACTCATGCCTGAGCTCAACTTTTTGAATAATCCTTTTTTCTCTGCTAATCGTGATGACATCATTATCATATATTTATTTCTTATATTGAAGAAAAGAGTGATATGAGTGTACTGATCTAAATAGCCTTTTAGGACACTTATTCTTGCAACAGTTTGAAAAATGAATTAAATGGTCAAGAGCTTAACAGATGTAAGACCAGTTCGAAAACTATAGTAGTCATCCAGACAAAAGAGGCTAATAAGGTCCTGAATGAGGGTCATGACCCTAAGAATGGAAGAGAGTTGTAAGAAAAACACTGAAGACATCAAGTAAGCAGAACTCTTCAAATGACTGGATGTGTGGCTGAAAAGAAGCAAGGAGAAAGAATCAAAGATGATTCTGAGTGCAGCCCAAAATGCAATGCCTGCATATCTTGACTCATGTTGTTTTTCATACTCATATGCCCACTTATTATTCAAAACTTGAATTAAATACTGGAGCAAGGCAAAATCAACCAGTCTTTCTTCATAGCACATTAGAAGCAGAAATTAAGGAATCCAATCTACAAATTGAGTCCCACAATGATTTTAAAGGTTACTAATCCCATCTATCCCATCTCCCTTCCCCAAAACCTTGCTTATCTAGAATTTAGCTCAATGGACTGAATCATACTTGTTTCACCTCCAGCTTCCCAAATCTTTACTTCTTTTTCCTTCAGGGCAACAAATGTGGCTTCCCTCTCTCCCTCATGCTAGATTAGCCTCCAACAGGAGGAATTCAATTGACCCTTAGGGTTGTGATAAATGCTAAGACAGTTAGGTAATTCTTGGCTATAAGTCACTCTTCAACAAACTTGATCCAAGCCTTTCTCCTCCTCCAAACTAACCTCTTTAGTATCCTGGTGAATGTCTCTCTGTAGAAGTTCTTCCAACCCAACCAATTAGGTGGAACAAGTCCTCTCCAGGTATTCTTCCTGGTGGTTTCAGAGGTGAGGGAGGCTATCTAACCTCTCTTCTGTCAAGTCAGTTTTCTTTTTTTCTAGAAAGTCAAAATTATAGAAGACAAACATAAATATGAAAAACAGTATGTTGTCACCCACTTCTACCTGTGGCATTATAATGCATAGGGTTATAAAAGTGTTTATCATGCTTACTATAGGAATGTTGTTAAGACAGACAGGAGATTGGTGGTTGCCAAGTGACTACTCAGTGGGTATGGGGTTTTCATTTTATGAAAAATTCTGGAACTAGATAGTTGTGATGGCTGCACAATGTGAATGTACTTAATGTCACGGAATTGTACATTTTAAAATGGTTAAAATGATAAATTCTATGTTATGTGTATTTTGTCACAATTTTTTAAATTGTGTTTTCTAATCTTGTTGCTGAGGATGTTGTTAACTAGATTTCAAAATGCCCTCTCTATAAATATCCACGGGAGGAATGTCTCACTATATTACGAATACTGTGAACTGCAAGGTAGATCACATTTCCCTTTAACACTGGCCAACAGGAAGCTTTAAGCCAACTTTCGGGGCCTTCCCTGGCAAGTAGGATTTCACAGCTTGTCTTTTTGTACTAAGGTAATTCCAGGCTCCACTGTACCTTCCTATCTTTAGTTTTTCCTTTGCTTCATTTTTCATTTTCATTTTCAATTTATTTTATCTTGCTACCATATATGGATCTTTGTAAGATACCTTAAGTCATTTTAAGAACCTGGCAGGATATAAATAACCTAAACATCAAAGAATGACCAGATAACGTGTTTACTTATTTTGTCTCTCATAATGTGGTCTCTTTTCCTGATATAAACTCCAAAATGGTCCTTGCATTGAGATTGCCAAGAAATCCTATTAGACGTGAAACACATTTTTGTTAAATAATTAGCTTCCTCATAGTGAATATCTTCTTTTTACTGACTTTATTCACACCTGGTATTTTCCGTTGTTAACTGAACACCAACCGACAAGCACCGTATTACAAATGCATTGATAATGATGAAATGTCATTAACTCTGAGTAACAGCCACTGTTGAGAAAACAAATCCTATTTACTCTCTGTAAGGTTTTTACTGCTTTCCATAATTACAAGGAAAAAGAAGTTTAGCAATGCCTCTTTGTCCAAAGTGCAAAAAAATACTGCTACATTTTGGGAAAAAGTTATAATAGATAATTATGATGTACATTTTTCTTATTTCGTGGAAAATTGGGGAGAACATAAATAATTCCTCAAAGCACCAATGCAAGCTTTGGGGAGGGGGTTGTGTCCCAGAAAACAGAAGCTGGTTGCAATGACAGAGAATATTTTAAAATAAAAGTCCCCGTAGTTGGTCAGGAACAAAGACTGAATATGGATACTTGGAATATGTCTTGGAGATTAGATGGGTCATCAAGGCTTTATTGTTGACTGATAGTACAGTGGCAATATTAATGAATTTATCTACTCAACAAATGCAGGGTCCATCTGAAAGTCTCCAGTGTCAGTCACTGAGGCCCACTGCAGACCCCAAGAATTTTAGAAGGCAGAAAAAAGAGAGGACCAGAACCACATACATACAATTTAAACCCTACCTTTAAGATATTTAACTGAGCTCTTCTGAATTCTCTCTTGAACCAGAAAGGTAGTAATTAGAGATTAATGTCAGATGTATTACCAGGTATAATCTTATGTCAAAAGAGCATCAAGATTCATAATTGTCAGAAGACAAGTTGTCACCACGCTTGTTGGTTTTCTGGTACAGACAGGTTCTCACTTAAAGCTCACAATAGCCATAGTCAAGCAAATGAGAAAACACTAAGAAGCAATTTCTCTACACTCACACAGAGTAAGTGGCAAGACCAGGATTCAAAACAGGATCTGTTTGCATCCAGCACCAGTGAACCTAAGCATTGCACCACAGTGCCTCGTGGGCTCACCCAGCAACCATGACAAAGCACTCTCACACACCTCTGAGGAACCAAAGGAAAAGCTGCTGTTGCAAAATTTAAAAGTTCAAAGAGTAGTGGTTTTCACTAAGTCATCTGGATTGTGAGTGCAGAAAGCAAAAATAAAAACTGGGCGTCCTAACACTCAGTCCAGAACTTTTGCACTATAGCCCATGCATGCGTGCACACACACACAGTAACAGGAGCTCAGCCTTACAATTGCAGGCTGCTGCTGATGCCAGGCAAAACATGCATCATCTTACACTGAAGAAGCTGTGAAAGCAGAAAAATCAATCTGCCATTTTAATAAAAAATGTGAGAAAGTGAGAAGATGAGCTATGGTGCAATCACTTTGGGCGTATCTGGCTGTTTTGCTATTAATCATTTCTTTACTGTGCAGTCAGCAAAACTTATTTAAATCTATTCAGTGCTTTGTCAGGTCCACTGTAGAGGTCCTGTGACCAAGTGGGATGAGATTACAAGACCATCATTGTATCCTAAGGACCAGGAACCGTGCTCATAACAGCAGTCTTCAAGTGGAAAAGATTAAACCTGGGGAAAGACGATCTTTTCTCCCAAGACTGGAATATTGAAATTTCCTGACATGACAGCTTCTAGCAATTACAAATCTTGGATTTAAGATCTTAAACTGCATTTGTAATCAATCTTCAATCACTACCTTTCTGTTTTAAGAAAAAATATTTTTTAACATTTTTATTGGAGTATAATTGCTTTACAATGGTGTCTTAGTTTCTGCTTTATAACAAAGTGAATCAGTTATACATATATATATATATCCCCGTATCTTGTCCCTCTCGCGTCTCCCTCCCTCCCACCCTCCCTATCCCACCCCTCTAGCTGGTCACAAAGCACCGAGCTGATCTCCCTGTGCTATGCAGCTGCTTCCCACTAGCTATCTATTTTACATTTGGTAGTGTATATATGTCCATGCCACTCTCTCACTTTGTCCCAGCTTACCCTTCCCCCTCCCCGTATCCTCAAGTCCATTCTCTAGTAGGTCTGCATCTTTATTCCCGTCTTTCCCCTAGGTTCTTCATGACCACTTTTTTTTTTTTTTTTAGATTCCATATATATGTGTTAGCATACGGTATTTGTTTTTCTCTTTCTGACTTACTTCACTCTGTATGACAGACTCTAGGTCCATCCACCTCACTACAAATAACTCAATTTCATTTCTTTTTATGGCTGAGTAATATTCCATTGTATCTATGTGCCACATCTTCTTTATCCATTCATCTGTCAATGGACACTTAGGTTGCCTCCATGTCCTGCCTATTGTAAACAGAGGTGCAATGAACATTGTGGTACATGACTCTTTGTGAATTATGGCTTTCTCGGGGTATATGCACAGTAGTGGGATTGCTAGGTCATATGGTAGTTCTATTTGTAGTTTTTTAAGGAACCTCCATATTGTTCTCCATAGTGGCTGTTTCAATTTACATTCCCACCAACAGTGCAAGAGGGTTCCCTTTTCTCCACACCCTCTCCAGCATTTATTGTTTGTAGATTTTTTGATGATGCCCATTCTGACCAGTGTGAGATGATATCTCATTGTAGTTTTGATTTGCATTTCTCTAACGATTAATGATGTTGAGCATTCTTTCATGTGTTTGTTGGCAGTCTGTATATCTTCTTTGGAGAAATGTCTATTTAGACATATCTTCTGTGCATTTTTGGATTGGGTTGTTTGTTTTTTTGATATTGAGCTGCATGAGCTGCTTGTATATTTGGGAGATTATCCTTTGTCAGTTGCTTCACTTGCAAATATTTTCTCCCATTCTGAGGGTTGTCTTTTCGTCTCGTTTATGGTTTCCTTTGCTGTGCAAAAGCTTTGAAGTTTCATTAGGTCCCATTTGTTTATTTTTGTTTTTATTTCCATTTCTCTAGGAGGTGGGTCAGAAAGGATCTTGCTGTGATTTATGTCATAGAGTGTTCTGCCTATGTCTTCCTCTAAGAGTTTGATAGTGTCTGGCCTTACATTTAGGTCTTTAATCCATTTTGAGTTTATTTTTGTGTATGGTGTTAGGGAGTGTTCTAATTTCATTCTTTTACATGTAGCTATCCAGTTTTCCCAGCACCTTCTCATATTGAAGAGGTGTCTTTTCTCCACTGTATATTCTTGCCTCCTTTATCAAAGATAAGGTGACCATATGTGCGTGGGTTTATCTCTGGGCTTTCTATCCTGTTCCATTGATCTGTATTTCTGTTTTTGTGCCAGTACCATACTGTCTTGATTACTGTAGCTTTGTAGTACAGTCTGAAGTCAGGGAGCCTGATTCCTCCAGCTCCGTTTTTCTTTCTCAAGATTGCTTTGGGTATTTGGGGTCTTTTGTGTTTTCATAAAAATTGTGAAATTTTTTGTTCTAGTTCTGTGAAAAATACCAGTGGTAGTTTGATAGGGATTGCACTGAATCTGTAGATTGCTTTGGGTAGTAGAGTCATTTTCACAATGTTGATTCTTCCAATCCAAGAACATGGTATATCTCTCCATCTATTTGTATCATCTTTAATTTCTTTTAAGAAAGAATTTGAATAAGATTAGATTAATACTTTATAACTAGGGTCTTAAGTTTTCTTACAGATCTGCTTCTTTTTCCTTACCTATGTCTTCTGCTCCCAAACTAATTTGGGGATGTCAGTGATTGCCTCAGAGGCCTTCAGGCTATTCCTTCCTGGTGTCTGATGCTTAGAATCATTCTTCTGGTTACTGAGTTACCTAGAGGGAATGGGAGCATCTTCTATCACGCCTCTTAAATTGACCCACCTGAGCCAACTGAATACCTAAGACACCCTGGATCTTGAAACAAAGGCCTATACATTGGAAGACTCTAGTCCAAAAAACAATGATGCCTCCAAGGATCCATCTCCACTAACCCCAGAGCAGTACACTCCCTAGGTCCAAGCATCCTCCCTAGGAATGGACATAAACTGTAGTGCATCTAGTGTTGATGATCCTTCTTGAACCAAGCTCAACTGCCATGAAGTTCCAACTTCAGGAGCTCATCCAAGGTAGGGGTGTCAAGTGTCAGCATCAACCCAGAGAACATGAATAGAATCCCTTTTCTAAATACCATATTCCCTTCTAAGACAGAGTCACCTGAAGCAGGGCTTTCTTCATATTACTTCAATTGTTTTCTATTGCTTAGTTAGTGAAGCAAAAACCCAGAACATAAAAACAAAAGATGCATTTGGTGAGGAGTAGAATATTTTACCTTCTTATTTTCATTCCAATCCTAGACAGCTTTACCTTTTTATGACCCATCCCCCTACACTCCATCCCAAGGTTGAGATAATCATAAAACATTCTTTAAGAAATCTTTGCATCATATAAAGAGGGCTCAGAAAGAACATTTTCACAGCATAAATTAAATCTTCTAATTCCTTCCATCAGCACCTTTCAAGACATGAATTGCATATGCTAGACCAAATGATGTTTCCACACAAGCTAATTATCAATTTTATACAGATTAGTAAAACCACATTCATTCAGATCCCATTAATTTGATATTCTCATGAAGTAGGATGGTGATTTAGCTATATTCTGTGAAAAAAAATGACTATCTTAAGCAAATTAAGACAAAGTGATAAGAGGACTACAGAGGACATCAGTCTTCAATCTCTTCTAACTACTTTTTTTCAAGAAGTATTGGTATACACATATTACAAAAATCTTCCTTCATCAAATCATTGTTGATATTTTCTTTGTGCCAAACAGGTACACTCAAGGAATTTACAATCTGGTAACTACAAACTAAAAGTTTCCATAGTTAAAAATCATTCTTATGATTGGATTTTTAAATTATCTAATAGGCATACAAAAGAAGGTCACATAAATAGTGAAGCATAAAAATAATTACCTCATGACTTTACCACCTATCCTCAGAACTAGAATATTCCCAACATCCCTGTACTAATCCACATGCCCCTTTCTAATCCCCTCTGCTGCCTCTTCCTACACCCCCACCAGAACTAACCACTATCCTGAAATTGGTATTTATCATTCCTTTGCTTTTCTTATGGTATTACTCCATACATATGTATTCTTAAATAGTAAATTAAGTTTCACTTGTTTATAAACTTTAAAAATGGTATTTAGCTGTGTGGATTCTTTTGTGACCTGCTTTTTTTCACTCAATATTATGTTTTCAAAATTCAGGCATGCTATAGCAGTGTAGCTGTGAGTTCTTCATCTTCACTACATATAATATTCCATTTTATTTATATAGTTATTGTCATGGTGGTGGATATTTGGGGTATTTCCAATAATTTTCTATCACAAATAACATGCTAAACAGCTATGAACATCCTTGCATTTGTATGGTGTTTATATGCAAGAGTTTCTCTAGAATATACCTAGAAAAGGAAATGCCAGGTTCTGGGGTATGTTCAAATTTAAAAGATAGTGCTAAAAATCATTTTGAAAGTGGCTGTACCAATATTTACTTCCTTTAGCAAGGTATAATTCTCCATTGATCCATATCTACTCCAATAGTCAATATTGGCAGATTTGTCTTTTCAATTTTGTCAGTTTAATGAATGTGTAATGTCATATCATGATTTTAACTTATAATTCTTAATTACCAGTAAAATGAGCACATTATCATACGTTTACTGGTCATTTGGATTTCTTTTGGGAAATGTCTATCCAGGCCTTTCGTTCATTTTATATCAGCTTGTATTTTTCTTATTGATTCGTAGGTATTATTTATTTCTAAATAAAATCTTATTTATTTGCAGATACTAGTCCTCTGTCAGTTACATGTGTTGCAAATTACATCTCTTGGTTTGTGACCTATCTTTTCATCCTCTTCATGGTGTCTGTCGTTGAATTAAAGTTCTTCATCTTAAGGTAACTGAATTTATCCACCACTTTTATGGGTAATGCTTTTTATGTTTTAAGAAATCATATCCATCTCTGAAGCAAATCAGATAATAAATCTTTCCTCTGATCTATTAATTATCTGTCCCTGCAAATAGTTTTAATTTCTTTTAAATATTCTATAATTTTAACCAGTAGTTGAATATTCCTAGAACCACCTGAATCAGAATCACCTAAGTATTTTTAAAATGCTAACACATGGTCTTTATTTTTCCCACAACTATTTATTGAGTAACTTTTATATGCCAGGTTCCACTCTAAGCCTGAGCATACAGAAGTAAATAAAACAGACAAAATCAAAGAATGCACATAAAAGGCCAACAGGTACATGAAAAGATGCCAAACATCACTAATCATCAGAGAAATGCAAATCAAAACCACGATGAGGTATCACCTCACACCTGTAAGAATGGCTATCATTAAATGGCTATACACACACACACGTCTATATATCTATATATAGATATAGATATATCTCACAAGGATATGATCAGGGATTCAAACAAGGCCCTTGCTTTTCCCAAAAAATAATTTTTTTTCTTGTTCAAAAAATTGTGTTGCCAGGGAGATCAGCTCGGTGCTTTGTGACCACCTAGAGGGGTGGGATAGGGAGGGTGGGAGGGAGGGAGACGCAAGAGGGAAGAGATATGGGGATATATGTGTGTGTATAGCTGATTCACTTTGTTATAAAGCAGAAACTAAGACACCATTGTAAAGCAATTATACTCCAATAAAAATGTTTTAAAAATAAATAAATAAAAGAACACCAGTCACACTGGATTAGGACCCACCTTAATTACTTCTTTTTAACTTGATTATCTCTGTAAACACCTTATCTCCAAATAAGGTCACATTCTGAGGTACTGGGGGTTAGGGCTCCAACGTCATCTTTTAGATGATACCAGCACCCTTCAGAACTGTCTCTCAATAGTGTCCTCAAGGCAAGATCTAGACATCATCAATAGATTACAAGCCACATTCTGAATCTAATAAAATCCTAACAATTAGATGTAAGTGTAGTTTATTCCTTTATTTTCCCATGTGCCACTGTAGTAGAAAGATTGCCAACTCTAGATGACCTTGATGTTTTTTGTTTCATATCTGCATTTAGATCTTTAATTATAAAAACAATATATGATCATAAAAATTCAAGCCATACATAAGGGAACAAAGCAAAATACCTTCTCCAGCCTCCTCCCCTCCTTGTCTCGAGTCTCATTTCGCAGAGAGGTTCCATGAAGAGTACATTCTTTTAGATCGTTTTAATGCATGTACATATAAAACATTTTCCTTTTTTTTTTGGCCAGTTTTCCTCTTGCTTTTAATCTGAATTTTCTAATGTGTCTGAATGAACATACCTTCCCTAAAAATGAAAAAAATAGAAGCTTAAAAAATGAAATGGAAATTTTACTGTAAGATATCTTAAGTGTATCTCTAGAATTTTAAGGGGAAAACAAGACAGAAATGCCCTTCGTGCGGAGAAAGGCAACTTATTTGTTTGCATATTGCAATAGAAATTCCCCTTAAGTTCATTATCAGTTCAATTACTATTCAGTTGGGAAAGAACCAATTAGCGCAGTTCCTGGCACACAATAGCTGCTCAATAAATATTAATTAATTAATTAGGCAATGAAGGAGTCTCCAGGAAACATCTTTTGGAACTGGAGAGTCTGGCTTAGGAATCTGTGGGGGTACAGGTGGTGTTGTCATTGATTCTTCCAACTAACAGTTGGGAGTTTCAAAGAGAAAGGAGGCTATGGGAGGTGAAAGACTAGCTATGCAGATGGTGTCAAAGAAGAAAATTTAGGTTTCTGGACTACAATCTAAAACAGCAAAATGATAAAGCTTTGGGCTAGAAATGCAGCACATGTTAGTAGTACAAGAATGCTTATGTTTGTCCGAAAATGAACTACCCTGATTAAAAGCCATGGGGCAGAGGGGTGGGATAGGGAGGGTGGGAGGGAGACACAAGAGGGAGGAGATATGTGGATATATGTATATGTATAGCTGATTCACTTTGTTATACAGCAGAAAGTAACACACCATTGTAAAGCAATTATACTCCAATAAAGATGTTAAAAAAAAAAAAAAAGCAGTGGAGCAGGAGATCTGGACACTGGTTTAAGCTTTGCATCAATTAAGCATAATTAAACCAAATCATAGTACCCATTTCATCCTAGTCACTTTTAAAACGACAGTACAATGCCTATGAGCCTTTCTAACCTTTTTTTAATCTTAATATTAAATGTATCCCTAAAGGGAGACAAGAAAATGAAAAAGTGAGGTATGGATCCACTTACTAAGGAGTCCTAGCAGGCATGACATAGAAGGAATTACAATAATGCCCAAGGTACCCAGTGGTATACACAATACTGTAACTAAGAATAGATTCAGAAATAATACAGTCTCAGATGATTATACACTATTATGGGGAGTGTGGATAGAGAACAAAGAAATCTTGATATTAAAAAAAAATAATAAAAGTCAAATGCAACATTATTGTTGTCCTCAGACTTGGTAGGAAGCTGCACACAACTGGAATATTGTGGTTGATGTAAAGGAAGGAGAGGCAGAATTTTACTGAGTATAAATAAAATATACACCTGCTCAAAGATTCTTAAATGTGAGGGTAAAAATACCCCAAACAATATAGGAGTAAGGATAAAAGAAGAGATCATCTCTGATCATTCAGTAATCCATTCATTCATTCAACCTGGTTGATATTCAAAACATTTAACAACTGGTATGGTACAACCAATCAGAAGGTACACTTCGGCCAATCAGAAGAGATACCAACTATAAACAAATGGAATAATAGCAAGGGGCACCTGGTGCATGTGTGCTGACCAACTACCATCCCTGCATTCAGCAACTGAGTACATAAGAACTGTGTGTGTGTGTGTGTGTGTGTGTAAAATATGGAATGCTTCTCACCATATACACCCTCACCTTACGTGACATCTTAGGTCCAAATTATTGTTAATAAAATTGTAAGAGTACATCTTTTCTCTTTCAAGAAAAATTTTCAAATTTGCATTTAATTAAAAAACTCATTTTACTATAAATATTTGGCTTACTCCTGCGTTTGGTTTCAAATAACCACAAGTTCTTTTATACCATGTTTTGCTCATTCTTGGGCCATTGGAGTAAAACATCCCATAACTTTAAGTGTTTCTCAATGCTTTGCATATATGAGAATGTGTTTCTCCTGCCTTTACACATGAAATCTAACAAAGAGGTATTAAATTTGTGAGGTCTCAAGAGTTTCCTCATAGAAATTTTAACCCATTGCTCCACTGTTCTCTAGCATTTATCATTCCTAAGGAGAATTCTGAGCCAGCCAGAGCTTTATTCCTTCACAGGTAAACATTATCTGCATTGAGATTTCTCTCTTCATCTAAGTACATTTTGCCAGTAAATATGCAGGTGTGATTCTTTTTATTTTTTAATTCTCTTTTTCATTTTTATAGATTCCTTTCAGGAAACTTTTCCACTTTTATGTCCCCATTATTGCTTCTGTTTCTATTTATGTCTATTCTTTCTTTATGCTATTCTTTTCTCTCTCAAAACAGCTATAAATCTTATTAACAAATAGTTGTCTAAAATGTCTGTGTATATATATAAATACATATATGTATAATTTTTAGCTTCATAATTTACAGATATACAAAACTTTTAGCCTCAGCCTCCGAGTCAGGCTGCATCCTTTCTTCCTCTACCAGGCTCTGCTGCAGTTCTTCCATTGGCTTCATGTTGTTGTGGCAGATGTTGCCGAAGTGGCGGTAGTGGTTGTTTTCATCATAAAATGAGAAGCAGTCTGCCCAGACAGCATGTTTGTCAACAGACAGGTTTGGTTTGTTCTTTTTTCTTTATTTCCTTGACTTTGTTCATTGTACATTTGGACGCTGATCACATCCCTTCTCTGGGATCTAAAGTGAAGGGCATGTTGATGTACCCAGTCATGGCCGGTGAATGGTAGATTGGGGATAAGAACACAACTCTTTTGACTCCATACTTTTTCCTGATGCTACAGCATAAAAAGAGTCAAATGTATGCAGATATGACATTGTAATAAAGTGGTGATGCTGACATCACAAATGTATTTCTGTATGAGTGCATATGTAGATACATATAATTCATAATGACAGTCTACTCTATGCTCCTATTCTATAACAGAGGAGGATTCAAAATAACACTAAAGCCAAAGATAATATAGTAAAATATATTGTTACCATGATGGTGTAAGCAGAGGGCTCAGTACAGCTTATCTGAAAAGTAATTCAAAGAGCACTATACACTGAAGGAAACTGAAGGACTTCTTTCTTGTTCATAATATATATTTGATAATCCTTATCCCTTTGGCTTTCTTATTTGCCCTAAAAGAGCCTGTAGAGTTATATAATCGCAAAAGGAAATGCAGCATGAAGAATGATTTTCCATGTTATGCCATCCACTGATTAAGTGATCCAGTTTATAGCAATGTCAAGTCATTAACAAAAATCAGAGATTAGATACTGTATAAAAACAAACTAGGCAAACGAATAAATAGCTTTGAGAAATTGTTGGTACTTAATAAGGGAATTTTATAATGAAATTAAAAGTTAATTCACCTATAAATAATGATATTAGTAGTAGGCAAAACTACAGTATTTCACTGCAGCATTTCCTGAATGCCTGCTCTGGCGCTTCAGTGGTAAGACCTTTATACTATACATATTTATAACCTTAACTCTTTGCAGCATCATTGTCATATAGGATCATTTTGAACTCTTCAACTTTATGGACAAAAGTCTGAAAGCCACTCATATGATACCACAGCAGGCCTCCTCAGAGTCTTGCTAAATATTTAATAAGCAACAAATTGTTAAAAAGCCAATTAGCATGCATGACCTCACAGTCCCTTTAGAAGTTTAAATGCAAGTTTCTATCATTTAATGGTAGAAAGATTACTGGATTTTTGTATCTGATTCTGCTACCTAACAACCCATCAAAAATTTGCTTCTCAATTCTAAGCAGATTAGTTAGCTTCTGCTTTTTCAGTTTGAATAAACACAAAATAATTCTAAGAAATTCCTCCCAAGATTATGTAGGCAAAAATCACTTGGATTCAAATCCACTGGTTTTTAACTATGTTTTGTTTATTGTTTTTAATATAAAATGTTAATTTAATAATGTAAACTAAAGGAAATGTAGAGACATTTTTAAATTATGAATAAATTATCAGCAGTACTTCCATCACTTAGAAATAATCATGGTTAACAAAGACATTTATTTCGGTTGGTCATTCAGTAAAATTCTACTGTGACTTTACCATATACACAATATTGTGCTAAGTGCTAATAAATACAGCAGTAAACAGGGACCAACCCTTGCCCTCATGAAGCTAACGGTGCGATAGGAAGGAACGACACTGAACAAGTAGTTGAAAATTTGATCAATAGTTCCAGCGTGGTGATTCTGGATACTTTGGGTGCATCAATCAAAGATTTATATAGTCTATGATTTAGAAAAGGGTTCCCCAAAGAACTGACACTCTCTCCTCCCACCGGAAGGTAAGCTCCATATAGGCAAAGATCTGTTCGCTACAATTCCTAGCACAAGGGTGGAAAAATTAGATGCAAGACAACTCTTCAAATAGATGGGAAGGATGAGAGATAAAAGGAAAAGGAAAATTACAGGTTAACAAGCTCACTGAAGGGAGGTTTACAGAAGTCTTATTTGAAAACATCTACTTTCTCTGTGAAGTAGGCAGTAATTTAATCTGCTGCAAATTTAAGGAGAATTGGGAAAAGGTGTCAGAATTGAGGAGAAGGGAGAAAGTATAAAACAGTTGTGGAGGGCTAGAGTTTGAGCTGTTGAGGAAACTAGTAAACACAGACCAGTGGAGGTTCGTAACCACAAATTTATATTGACACCAATTTGATCAGATCAGTCCTTTTTTACTCACAGGACTAGAAAGCTGAGTGCAAATAAGGCAAAGGCAGACAGTGGGCTCATCTAGTCTTGGGGTTTTGCCCCTGACAGATACATTCTAAGGACAAGGGACAGGAGAGTATAATGTGCTTCAGGTTCATCTACTATTCTGTGGTATGTATCAGTAGCTTGTTTCCTTTTGTTATTATGAGTGTTATTCCATTGTATGTATATACTATAGTTTGTTTATCCATTCATCAGTTAACAGACATTTGTATTGTTTCTACTTTTGAACTATTACAAATAATGCCACTATGAACATCTGCAAGCATTTCCTTGGATAGGTCCGTAGGAGTGGAACTGTTAGGACATCTGGAAAATATGTTTAAATTTTTACAAATCCATGAAATTGTTTTCCAGAATGGCTACACCACGTTTCATTCCCACCAG